GGTCTTTTTGCATGCAAGAATGAAATAATTTAGTAGGAGGGTTGGGAATCGAAAAGCTATTCCAATTTCGTAAATCAGATCAGATGCGTAAGTTCAGGAATCAAATTACTTGTTATAAAATTACATTTAGATCCTGCTTCTCGATTTCTGTATGCACATTTATTGTGATTTCAAAAGATTCAACTACAGGAAAACGAAATAGAACTCACTTCTGCACGCCCGCAATGTTTTCTGTGCTACGCGCACACACAAAGCGCACGCACAAAAGCCGCCTCTTATATACTCAAACACTGGATTGAGCTCTCTTTCTCGCATTCTTACACATTCGAATGGACCTGCTTCTAAATAAATAAAGCAGTTACTTTTATTTAGTTAAAAACGGGCCAAAAGAGACCTCCGACCTAGGCTACCAGAAAGGGGAAAAAAAACCTTTACGTTTTTTGCTCAGAATTAGTTTTTAATCCCTGCATGATTTTAGTCATACATGAATAAATATCAAATATGTTATAGCTTGACTACAAGTTTAAAAACAACGCTGCAATTGTTATAATCAAGGAAATTAAACTTACCATCATGAAATGTCTACACAGGCGATAATTACAAAAAGAAAGCGAAACATCGGAAAATAGGCATATTTTATTTAAGGCATATTTTAAGACATTATTATTAAATGACATCAACATGCATTTATCATTCTTACTATCACCGTCAGAATGTCCAACTTCACCATGATGAACTTGAAATTGGGTTCTATTATTTTTCCTCAACAGTTCTCCTCACAAAACGAAATTAATTTAAAAAATAAATGTAATAATTTCAACGAGTTGAAATTATTAGCAACACCAAAATAACAGCAAAGGTAATGTTTTCTGTTAGTTTAAGCACAAACTAAGAAAAGTAAAACCAAACTTTGTGGCAATAATTAAGACCAAACTGAACATGGTGTGTGTTTATGGTGCATGTCGGCAATGTTGTCTTGGCGGGGGCGGGGCGTGGTGGAGGTGGGGCTTAGGTAGACGATATTATCGGATATCGTGATATTTTTAAAGGCGATTAGCGATAAGATATTTTTGACATATCGCCCAGCCCTATCATCAATTACCTTGAAGAACCTCTCAGCCGTTTTTCATGACTGTTCATTTCAAAAATCATAACGGGCTCACTGCTTTTTCCTCTCCATTGTAGCTTTTTTTTTTTCATTTCCTGAATTATTTGTGTTGTAATCTTTTTTCTGCCACAATTCAATGCACATGTGCTGTGTAACTGTAAAGTGCATGTAAAGTCTGTACATCAGTGTTGTGTGCTACATGTTATTTATGGACTTTAATGAAAAATTTTAATTAAATCATGCACATTAGGAAGACCACTTACAATGTATGCACTTTCTCTATTACTGTGTGTTATGATATTTAACATCCTTTATCGATGTTATAATGTTTATATTAAATTAACTGGCTTTAGGTACTGGTTTTCTAAAGTGTTATGGTGTGTTATGGTGTAAATGTTCATTATTATTTCCTGTTGGAATATTGCAGCTGAAGTTGGTTCTGCATGTTTTTTGGTCTGTTTTCAATATCCTTTTAAGAAAGTGACATTGATAAGGTTCGGTTTCTGTGAGCTATTTGAGTTTGATAGTGTCTCATGGGTGTGCAATTTAGCTTTTGAATAGATGTTCCAGTTAATTCATTGTGCCTTCTTTCTATAGTTTTACCTTGAATTTAACAATTGATTTGGAAATATAAAATTACAGATTTGCTTTTAATCAAAAGATGTTAGGGACTTGGGTTTATTAATTCATTTTATTCAGATAATTTTATATTTCTTTGATAAAAAGATATGCTTATCTTGACCCAGCCACCAAATCACCACTGACAAAAGCTCTGTTAGTTACTCTATACATTGGCTCGTATTCATCTTTTTTTGAAAATAATCATGGAGTAGCTGTAAAAGTTATCAGAATGTTTGCTAGGTGTTTTAGAGGCAGAAACGCATCTGTTTTTTTAAATTATTATTCTTACCTTTAAGTAAACCATACGTTCCCATCAGTTTTGTTGTACATAAAAATGGAAGGCAACTTTATATTTTACAAAAAGTAGGCCTACTACTTAGTTTAGCATCGTTAAACCAAATTGTAAGGCTGAATCAGCTGTAATGTTGAATTTTTATGAGCGTTTGGGAACAGAGTGATTGAATAAATAGCAGTACTTCAGTTTTACATTATGTTTCTCTTCTGAAATGTCTAAGCGTAACATTACCGATTTTGAACCATCTTCATCCGCTGCAGTAGATCCTCAAAATACATAAACTGAACATGAGCAGGGCTTCTGAACAGCCATCTATATTGAGCGATTCTGTAATTTGGCAACTCAGAGCTGTTTGGCTTTCATCCATCCATCCTAAAATGAAACATTTAGAAGATCGTGGCGCATATCATATAGAAGACATCAGTTTGCTTTGCTGTCTTTGGGCTTTCAACAGCGTAACGTGCTCTCACAGCCCCAGAGATGACCGTGTCTTTTAGATTACCGAGGCTGATCTGGTCGCTTTATCTCTTCTGAGTAAACACTGACATCAACATCCTCTTAACTAAATGAGGGATGGAGGCATGTCAGCGAATACAGACCCAGCGGTTCTAATCTACTGGCCCAGTGCTCTCAGCTCCCTGCAGGGGGGCAGTTGTACGTTTCAGCAATCGTGATTTATTATCTGCCCACAGTCTCTTGAAAACATGGCCCGATTTAGTTGCGTGCAGTACTGGTTGCGCTCCGCCTGATGAGTTTTGACACTACAACTGTTGGTATCAGTGCAAATGCGATGGGTATAAGAGTCTTCAGTACTTCAGTAGCAGCGGATGTGGGTGGGTGGGTGGGGGGGTCTCACTCGTGCTTACGTAATGGGTCTATTTCCAGCACTGACTCACTCCATATGGAATGATCTTGATATGAAATGCAAAAACCCACAGGGACATGAAGAGTTGCACAAAGCACACTGGAGTTTCTCAGAATTCGCTTTCTGCGAGCATGGAGCTGTGCTTTTTATGACCTTGTGTCCAGGTACTTTCATGCCCCACGGCTGCGTGTGACCATTCGGCCGGCTGAGTGGGGGAAGGGTGGAGTAGGGTTGGATGAGAGTGGGTTTATTGGGGTGGATGTCTGTGGTTTTTTTTTGTGCTTGTGGATTAATCTAGAGTCCTTAACCCACTTCCAAGTCCATAGCTGGCACGAGAGAGAAGAAATGGCATCATGAATGAGATCTCTCTCTGCTGGACCGAAGCTAATACGGGTTCAGCTGAAGTTCGACCGGGTGGGTCACGCACATGGTCCTGTGGTCAGCCCAGGCGAATGGGAAAAGCTCTGCCATAACATAAGAGCAAGGGATCACTGCATCTCTGGCCAGCAGCCACGGCCCAATCCGATCTCTGGCACTAGATGCAGAGAAACCAAGGGCCACCGTGTGCACTGACTAAGCATGCGTGCTATTCTCCCTCAAGCGCACACTCGTGCAGTTCCGTTGAAACGCTCTTAACGGGAATTTGCATTTGCAAAGAAGCATGTGCTTTGGAATAAAGCTGTTTGCATAAGGCAGAATCTGTCAGCAGCCTTCAGGGAATCAAACCAACCTTGTTTCAAGGCTGCTGTGAAAGAAATGCAATTAGCGAGTTCAAATGGTGTGGGACATAAAATAATATGCAGTGAGAGATTGTCAACGTACACCGTGTATCTCGTTAATGCGACGTATAGAAGGTATGTGCTAGACTTCACATCCGTCATCTGTTGTGTTCCTCTTGAGGGAATTAGGAGCAAACTCTCATCTGAGGTTCTGCTTCGTAATGCTAATGCAAGCTGAAGTCATTCTGTCAAATTCTGATGTCATTCCTTTTCACATTCATGTCACTTATTAAGCCAGTAGAGATCGTAATAGTGTGGGTTTCCAAAATAGCATATGTGTATTAGGAGGGCAATTACAATATTTCTGGACTGATAATTAACAGCTTGTTGTGCCTGATACAATTAACCTTTTATTTTATTTATCTACTTGTTTTATTATCTATTTATTTTTATACATATAAAAGCTTTAATAAAAGTTTAGAATGTGGACTTTTTATGCATTTAGGAAATCTGATTTTGATTACTTTGTTACTTTGCTTTTTCATTTACAGAGAAATTAGAAATGTTCCCTTCATAATTTAAGAAATATAGTGATCAAAATAGGTATCTGTAAAAACGTCATGACCTATATCATGTCAGTATATTGTAACAGTCGTAACTGGTAGAATACAATAAGCAAGCATATTTGTATACATGAAAACTGTCATATGCACATGTGAGAAATCCTTCAAAATATTTCCTTATTTGTTTGATTTATTTGCACGGCTAAAACAACTGACAGAAGACTAAATGTAAATAGTGCTCATAACAGAATATAGGAATGTGTCTTGTGTGAACTTTGTTTTCAAAGTCAATTCCCAGTTATTCTTAGTCATATACGCTTT